TCCTGAGGGGCCATGCTGCCTCTGCGCCGCCGGCTGCGCGCACCTGGGCGATGGGGCCGTGGAACCAGTGGCGGGCGCCCTTGTACGGCAGGAACCACCAGCCCAGGGAGAAGACGAGCACGACGCCCACCGCCACGCCGGCATAGTTGAGGTTGTCCTTGGTGACTGCACGTGGCAGGGTGGGGGTGGGGGTGGGGGGTGATGATAGAAAACTCTATCTAACAAAAACAACATGAAGCAAAGAAGAATTTTCTTCTTTCTTAATTTCTTCATCGGCATACTGACCTGGGTACACCGTAGGCAGAACGAAGATGCATGAAACGAACACGACCCACAGCACGGCGGTGATCCCTATGGGCAAGCTAAGACGGCCCAGGTGGAAGGGGCCGCGCACAAAGGTGGCGCGCGCCACAGTGCAGCGCAGGAAGACGGGGACCACATACGATATATAGAGGCCGATCGTGGCAATGCTTGTGACTGCGGTAAAGCTGCAACCAGGGCCGTGGCGCCAGGCTCGGTCAAACAGCACCCAATCAAAGGCCCAGAGGCAGCAACTGCACCGCACTCTCAGCTGGTGGCGGGCGGCCGGCAGCCCAAACGCGTTGCGCTGCCAGCGCGTGAATGGCGGGGCCCAGGCGCCACTCACACGACGGCGCTGTCCAGCACGGGCAGGCCCAGCAGGAACGCCACCACCACCGACAGCCAGACGGCGTTGACGGGGGTCTTGGTGTGGGGGTTGATGTGGTGCCACCACCTGCTGCCGGGCACGGCGCCGTCGCGGCTGAAGGCGTACAGCATCCTGCTGTTGCTGGTGATGGAAGCCATGCCGCAGAAGAACTGCGGGGTGGAGTGTGTGTGTGGTGTGGTGGGGGGGAGGGGGGATGCAGCAGGCTGGGCGGCGGGCCTCAGGTGCGCGCCACGGCGGCCACCACTCCCGGCAATGCGTCACGCCACCACCCGCGGCCTGATGCTGCCCTGCTGAGCCAGCCCACCTGGCCCATCAGGGGGATGATCATCAAGGCAATGCTGCGCTCGCCATCGCCATACCTGCACCACGAATCATTGACCAGTCAATGGATGGGTGCGCCGCGCCCATAGGCCCCATGCTGCCACCACCGGCATGCTGCTGCCCAGGGCCGTCACGCTTGCCTCACCGGGCGGCAGAGGCGTCCCAGATAACCTGGGCAGATGCGTAGGTGCCCCCGGTGGCGCTAGCGGGGTCGAACAGGTTGTCGGGGTTCTGCGGCAGCACGGCGGAGGCAGGCAGAGGGCTGACTGGGAGCCTGCATCGCACACGGCTGGTGCTTGCTGGGCCCCAGCTAGAGCTCCCTGGCCGGCGGCCTGCCTACACCTGGGCCGCACCTGGATGCTAAAGGTCAGGGCCAGCAGGTACAGCCAGCCTACAAAGAAGGAGACGACAACGGTCATGACGATGCCGCGCGGCCCGCTCTTAGCCGCATCCTTGGTCTCCTCTGTCATGTGTGCTGACGCGTCGTAGCCCGTCAGCGTGAACTGCGACATGAGCAGGCCCAGCAGGAAGATGAGGCCTGATGAGGCGATGCCCACATCTGCACGCATGGGGGAGGGGAGCAGGAGCGAGGCGACGTCAATCACAGGGCGCTCCGGCAGCGGCAGGAGGGCGGCCAGGCGTGTGGCTGAGCAGAGCGGGAGCAGCCAGCCAGGCAAGCAGCCCCACAAGCCAGTCAGAAGCGCTGGCGCCCCACACCGACCCGGCTTGTTGAAGTGGCCAAAGACGTAGGAGGCGCTCTGGTGGGTGGGCGCCACCGCCAGCAGGGCGACGATGAACACAAAGGTCCCCACCACGTGCCAGAACACGCTGATGCCGTTGAGGATGGCCAGCAGCCTGCGCAGCGTGGGAGCGGGTGCTTGGCGACTGCTGGGCGGCAAAAGTAGCTGGGCATGGCCAGCGGGACGGGGCATGAGCGGGCCCCGACTGTGGGCGATAGGCCAGACGACAGGCTTGGCGAGTGCTGTTGCGTGCATAGCCTTCCGCTGGCCCCTCGCCCAGCCAGCCACCAGCCACCTGTTGGCAAAGGTGTTGAGCAGGCCGTGGCACACGAGCGTGCCCGCATAGATGCCCAGCAGCTGGCTCTGGGTGGCCACAAACGGGTCCTCGCCTGCGGCGCCAAGCACCAGCGGGGGCACACTGCTTGGTGGTGTGAAAATAACCCTTTGAAATTAGGTTAAGACAAAAGTGAAGAAAGAAATGAGGCCCACATGCCCGACGCACCATTCACGCCTCCAGTACCCAGAGTGATAATTGTACTTAAAAATGCGGCAAAGGTGAAGTCGATGCCTGCCGTGACCGCCATCTGGCCCAGCAGATTGAACCAGCCTACAATCAGGCAGACGAAGAAACATCTGAAAGGGGAGCCAGCAAGGTGAACACCAAGCAGCGGCACATGGCGCCCAAGCTGGCCAACACACCCGTCACCCAGGAGGCCAGGGGCGCCCAGCGGGGGCCCGCCAGCTTGGCGCTCCAAAAATAGAGAGCTCCAGAGGTGGGGTAGGCGGAGCAGATTTCGGCCATGCTGCATGCGGCAGAGGGTGCCAGGAAGGGGGCCAGGCATACCGGTCAGCGACGCCCATGCACAAAACGCAAGTGTCGCCGGGCATCACTGCCCACTGCCCCACGCCGGGCTCACCTGAGGGCGACGAGCAGCGTGAAGAAGCTCACCACGGGCCAGCCCCAGATGATGGCAACAGGCCCGCCGTACCTGCAGGGTGTCGCACCCAACAACATCGGCAATCTCTCAGGCTGGCTTCCCCTACAGCAGAGCCCCATGCATCACCCCACCCTCCGCATGGCAGCATTGCGCCCACTTACGTGAAACCCAGTCCGTAGAGTCCGGTGAGGCCAGTCAGCACCGACACCACGGTGAAGGAGACGGCGAAGTTGTGGAACCCAGACAGTCCCCGCCTCAGCTCCTGCTTGTAGCCCATCTGGCGCAGCAGGGCCTCGTCATCCTCCTTGGTCGCCAGCGACGCCGCAGACACCGAATCCTTGACGCTGTTCGCCTCCGCCTGCCAAGAAGCAGCATGGGGCGGGGGCGGGTGGCAAAACCTTTACATGCTTTACATGCAACGGCTCGACGCTGTGGATGAGCGAGGGCGGCGGCGGTATGGCGGCGGGGGGCGGGAGCAGCAGGCGGCACCGCCGCGCTGGGGTTTCGCGATCCGACAATCTTCAACTCTCCAGCGCTTCCCACAAAGCATGCAGTACTGCAGCGGCGACCTCCCACCCGTGGCGTCCAGGAGCTGGCTGAGCAGCAGGCAGGCAAACTTCAAGAAGTGTGTGCAAACAGCAAGGAGGCACAGCGTGGCCTACCATGGTCGCGCTTCTTGTTGCACTGCAGAGGCTGGACTCGCACTCCTTGCACAACTGCTGCTCTCCCGCCAACCAGCTCTGTCGTTTTTTCGCGGCTAAGCGTGTGCTGGATCAACACCTGGGAGCTTAAATTGAGGCGCCGGGGCGGCAGGCGATTGGGTGGTCGCCAGGGTGCCCTAGGGCAGGCCAGGGCGCATGCAGCGCGCACAGCAGGGGCGCCGAAAGCAGGACAGGGGTGGATCAAAACTCCAGCAAACGGTGGACCATGGGGAGCCCCTGCCACTCCCAGGCCGCCGTCATCTCCGCTGCTGCTTGAAGCCGCCCCTGCCCCTACCCCCACCCCCTCCCATCGCCTTGTGGTGGTGGTGGCTGTCGTCGT